ATTTTAATTAATTATAAATCCTTCTAGCATTGTAGTTAATTAATTTTTTTTAAAAATATCACTCATTAATATATATATATATATATAAATATATAATTGATGAGTAGTATTTCGAGCCAAAACGAGTCAAACAAGAACTAAAAACATTTGTGTTCGTGTTCGGCTCGTTAACTTAGCGAACGAGCAGAACACGAGCTATTCACGAACAACAAGCCATTTTGACAGCTCTAATGAAGCCAGCAATACAGATCATTTGTATGCTATTCTACAGATTTTAAAAGAGAATACACTATATACCAATTTTTTTAAATATGAATTTTAGCTTAAAAATGCAATTTTTTTGGCATATTATTAGTGAAGATGACATATATGTGGATCAGAATATGATCAAGGCAATTACAAATTAATCAAGAACCACTATTGTTATTGATATCAGGAGTTCTTTTTAGATTTGGCTAGTTGTTATAAGGGATTTGTAGAGGAATTTTTACAAATTGTTATGTCATTATCCAAATAGACTCCAAAGACAATGAAGTTTGATTTGACTGATCGTTGTGAAGAGGCTATTCAAAAATTAAAGTCTTTCTTGATGACTACTCCAGTATTAGCTATTTATTTAGGATCATATGGGTTTTAGATTTTTGGTGATACATTTTTGAAGGGTTGGAATATGTACTTATGCAGCATTAAAGGGGCATTGTCTATGCTTCAAGACAAATGAACTAACCAACACATGATTTCGAGCTTGCAGCAGTTGTACTTGCACTTAAAATATCGAGACATTATTTGTATGGTATTAGAGGTGAAGTATTTATGTATCATCAGAGTTTAAATTATATATTCACTCAAAAAGAATTGAATCAGAGACAGAGCAGATGGTTGGAGTTTATTAAAAATTATGATCTGATATTCAGTATTATCCAGAGATGGCAAATGTGGTGGCAGATAAATTGAGTAGTAAGACTTCAGGTAACTTGAACTGTTTATTTACTTAGCAAAAGTAATTACTTAAAGATTTAGACAAACTGAAACCATCTGTAAATAACTAGTGATGACAATATGGTTCAAATTAAATTAGTTGACTATGCATCCTACTCTGAAAGGCGGAATGGCAAATTCTTTAGCCAAAGGTAGCAGTTTTCAAAAAATCCTGGAGCAACTTGAGGCAAATAGTTTGAAGAATTATGTGTTAGACTTGGATGACTTAATGAAATATAAAAACAAGATTTATGTTCCAAATGTTGATAATTTGAGACAAAATTATAGAGATGACACACTTATATGGTTATACTATTTACCCAAGAAGTAAGAAAATTTAGCAGGATCTCAAGAAAACATTTTGGTAGCCAAGGTTGAAAATAAGTGTTACTGAGTATGTGATTAAATGTTCTTCATGTTAGCAAGTAAAAGCAAAAAATCACCATCAATGAGGTCAGTTACAGCCTAAGTCTACAGTGGAAATGGGATTAAATTGTTATGAACTTTGTGATTGGATTGCCTCAATCACGACAGAGTCGTGATGCTATTTAGGTAACTTTTGATAGATTGACTATTTCTACTCATTTCTCACTCATTAAACAGACAAATCCTACCGAAAACTAGCCAAATTATATGTGAAACAAACTATAAGGTTGCATAGAGTGTCAAAGTCTATTATTTCAAATAGAGATGACAAATTTACTTCCGGATTGTGGAAGAAAATTCAATAGGCTTTGGGCACGAGATTGACTTGTAATACATCTTTTCACCCTAAAATAGATGATCTGTCAAAAAATACTATTCAACCTTTGGAGGATCTATTAAGGTTATGTGTCCTTAACTTTGATTGAGAATGGGAATCACCTACAACTTTAATAGAATTTGCTTATAATAATAGTTATTAGGCTAGCATTAGGATGGCTTCATATAAAGCTTTGTATGGAAGAAAGTGCACGAGACCATTATGTTGGGCTGAAGCAGGTGAAAAGGTCATTAGAGCTGACTTGGTTGATGATATTACTGAAAAAATTAAACTGATCAAAAACAGATATAATGCAATGCAGGATAGGCAGAGGAAATATTATGATCCAAGCACAGGTCAATAGAGTTTGGAACCGGAGAAATTAACTTTATCAAAGACAGTCCATTGTAGGTGTGCAATTTTGAGAAGACTGAAAATTGAATCCAACATATTTAGGTCCATATGAGATTGTGGAGAGGATTGAAAATGTGGGTTACCAATTGGCTTTTCTAGTTCATATGCAAAAAAGATGATAATGTTTCCATATATCTTCACTTAGAAAGTATATTACAGATAAGTCTAATAGAATTTTCATATATGAAGTGGAGATAGAGTCTGAATATACGGAGGAGCCTGAAAGGATTATGGACTGATGTTAAGAAACTTCGTATTTGGTAGATTCCATTTGTAAAAATTTTATTGAAGCACGGATCAGAGAAAGATACTACTTGGGAGAATGTTTCAGACATGTAAGAAAGATATACTACACTCTTCAGTTAAAGCATGTTTGCTTTTATATTAAACTTTTCAAATTCCATGGCCAGATGGTGTGTGTCGCAAGAAAGATATCTACATGTCTATAGTCAAACAGCCAACGGGATCTCGAGCTGCATCTCAATAAGACTCTTTATCAACTCTTCTAATCCCTTGAATCGGCCCTTAAATCAATTTTCCATGGAAGCAAATCTATCGTCTATGGAGGAAAGAAACAGCCAACGGGATCTCGAGCTGCATCTCAATAAAACTCTTTATCAACTCTTCTAATCCCTTGAATCGACCCTTAAATCAATTTTCCATGGAAGCAAATCTATTGTCTATGGAGAAAAACATTCCTTCTATGATGAAAAACATTTCTTCCATCCCAGATCTGATTTAGCTCATTTATTCCTCCAATTTCTCCTTTAAGGCATCCACTTTCTTAGCCGCCATTACTCCCGTGAAAATTTTTTATCACAAAGACTTTTGCTAAACTCACAAGGAATTCCTGTACATCATGATCCTGTTGTCGGCTTCCCTGTTAGCTTGATTTGTGACTCTATCGCAAGGTTCGATCACAAAGGCAACGACAGTTCAGTCGGTGGCCTCCAAGCTAGCTAAAATCACTAATTGTATCGTTATGATCCCTGCACACCGCTATCCCATCGGCTCCCAGCTTAGCTTATATAGATTCTATGTCATGCAATTTGGTGCAATGGAGATGAATGTATGCCACGATCCCTTATACTTCCCAGATAGATGAATCAAAATGATAAAACAAAGTAAATGCAACCCACGATCCTGCCTCCTATCATTGTTTTCTGGTTCGATCCAGTTGTTTGTATCTCCCATAAAGATGGATGCTCTGGCATCAATTTGATACGATCCGGTAAAGAATTCCACATAAAAATTAGGGCCAAATAAATTTATTCCTTCAATAACTCAAACAATACAACACCAAAAGGATACACATCTACAATTCAATAGGTAGACGATCTCTCCCAAATGCTACAATTTGAGAGGCAGGAAATCTCCCAAACCCTAATGCAAAGTCTCAAGGTAACAATCTTCTGCATAGCCCGAACCCTAAGCTATTAGCCCTATTTATACCAAATCGTAATTATTAATAAAAGACTAAATTAACCTTATAGCATAATAAAATACAAAATTACCCTTAGGCTTAGGAACTGATGTAACATAATCCTACAAGGTCTTACAAAGTTGTTATTGCCTCTAATAAAGCAGCCTCAGATAAGCAATTATTATTCATTTCTTACAAAAAGGTTACAGTAAAAAAACTTGCTAAAAATATTGAACTTGGTTTAACCATTGTTCATGTTTGATGAAAAATATTAAATTTTGGTGGCATATTAGTCATAGATAAATTCAGGAGTGCGGTACTATGAGTCATCGCAAACTTAGCAATATGCCTTTAAATGTGCACCATTTGTAATTTGGAAAAGATTTAATTATAACAACAAATAAAAATATGACTAAGATAAATCCCATCAATAAATAAAATAATCTATTCGATTTACAATCCATAAATAAACATTTGGAAATAAATAACTTTATTTTCTACTTGGTATATTTAGATTTGAATAGATCACTGAATACTTCATCAATGAGTTTGTGATTCTATAGAAGAATCTTTTAAAAATATTAGTTACATGGCTTCCTTTGCAAGTTTTCTTTTCAATAGTAATTCCACAATTTCAACATATAGATTTGCGGATTTTAACCATCAATTTTAGGACAGATTTTGGTAGCTTCAATAATTTCAATCCCTGTTCTAGCTCATTATTTTGATTATATTTGTAAATATTATTATACTTTTAGTATTTACAAACATGTTGAACAAGGAAAACATTGTATTTTTAATAACCATAGTTAAAAAGAGAATTTCAGTGCAAAGTGAGTCAATTAATATAAATTCTAAAGAGGGGGTGTTTCATGCACCTTCACCATCGTATTTGTGAAGAGGTTGTTTCTATTACCCAAACCTAAAACTTCTAAAATAAACTATATAAGAAACATAGCTACTGCTTCAATTCTGCCTTCAATAATCATGGTACTCGTCATAAATTAGAATTATGAAAATAAAATTAAGATAGTTACATTAAACTTGTACTTTCACGTGTGATAACATGCATGTTTGATGAAGATTTTTAAGTAAACATACCGAACAATAAACAGTGAACAAATTCATACTTGATTTAATAGTTAGTTTTGATTTATAAGTTATAACCATAACCTATTTCGAGTTCGAGCAAAAACTATAAAAAAAATCAATAGCTTCTGCCACCCATCTATTTGCAAGCCAGCCGACCTACATCTGCCCACTAGGACATCATCCTCACACATCACAACCCACTGTAGTTGACATGGACGACTGTTTCCTATTCTTGTCTATATAAATAAACATTTTAGATAAATGAGCTAAAATGTTCAAAATCTACCATACATTGCCCGAAAGTGTAAAAAACCAAAAATTTTAGCCAAATCTAACAGTTTTACCATATACCTTAGCAATTCTGGTATTCAATTTTGATGTTAGACTTTCTTGTTCATTAACTGAACGTGAATCTTTATTGCTCTCAGTGATGAAACGTCCTTTAGCCATATTATCAAGAGAAATCGGGCGATTGTTAGAAGTATTCCCCACGCATTCCTGTTATAACATGAGAAGTTAGAAGATTATAGGGTGAAATGGATGGAAAATGCATGCTTCCATATAGCTACAAAAGGCTTTCTATTATGAGATTTGCTGAGCCAATGAGCGGAAATTAAGAAGTAACAGAAAATGGTGAATTTCACAAGCATGCTGCCAAGTTTAACAATATCTAGTACATACTCTCATGGTTTTGTAAATGTACCCAACAGCAAAAAAGCTGGGGCTAGCATCTACTTCATTGATTATTAAATCAGGCAAAATTCAAATGCAATCAAAATTCATGGTGTTAGAATCAGTTAAATAAATATCTCATATCATTTTTAAGGTAAAAGCTTGCATCTAGACTTGTATGACATGCATTTAGCTTGTACGGGTGTCTACATTTAGAAACAAAAAGAGGGCATACACATCTAATACCTAAACTTTGATTTTTACATCCATGTGACTTTACATGTGCTTAAAAAGGTGTGGTTCACATTTCAAAAGATAGTAATAGTTTTATTTATGTGATATGAAAGATTTGAGAATTACAAACGTAAAATTTAAAGCTTATTAGATATATAAATACATATGAATTATGCGGTATGTATGTATGTCAATCAAAATGACTAATAATCATCAGCGAACATAAATAAATCATTCCTACCATTATTTGAGCAGCAGAAGCTGCCAAAGTTTGGGTTTTACTAGCGACAGAATAGATACCATTTGAGACTCTATTCATGCTGTGCTTGAATTTTTTTCAGCTGACACATTCTGGTTTAATTTCTACAGAACAAAGAGTTTTACTAGCGACAGAATAGATACCATTTGAGACTATTCGTGCTGTGCTTGAATTTTTTTCAGCTGATGCATTCTGGTTTTAATTTCTACAGAACAAAGTTAAACCAGGTCGCAAAAAACAGCCAACTGCTTCAAAGTACTTAAGAGAACAATAATGAATTTTACGCTAATCCAACATTGAACAGACAAAACTAAACATTAAATTTCAGCTTTGTCATTATTGCATCTTTTTCACAAAACTACCAGAAGGATATTTGATATTACCTTGCTTCTAATACCACCTCTAGAATGTAGTATGTCAAAAAGGACAAATTTATTAAACATATAGGGTGATACCATAATTGAAGGCATTACACTCCCTCTATATTTTTTTTTTCTAATTTTACAAAAGCATTCAAAGCTTGAATTAGGGAACACCCCTCTTATTATTTAAGGTGTAATAGCTAAAAAAAAATTTCTAGTTCAAGAGAGAATCCATGAATACATATATTCCCAGTGAAATCTCCTTCATGGATCAACGGCACCAAAAGTTAATGGAAATTGTAATGAAAAAATAATAATAATAGAAGTTAAACAGTCATTCTAATGAAATCATTGTCTACTTCCAATAAACGTGATTGACCCAATTCCAGATCATCTTCTAGAATGATATAACCGTTCAAAATTTAGGAATTGTTGTTTGGAACTGTAATTTTGTTAGCCATGTGAAGTTCTTTTGTAGGGGTTGTTATGTGGAGTTGTTGTGAGAGGAGGTGTTGACTGATTCAACAGAAATAATGACAATAAACCTACATGAACAAAAATGTTAAAAAGACGAGCATGACTTCCTTAAGAATAAGCAAGCTGCCAGAAAAACAAAGGAATATGAGTTTCACTATACATCGGAGAATAGCCAAATTGTGTTTTCCATGAGGTTAGCAGATATGACTGACAAACTTACGGACATAAAGTTAACACACAAATATATATCAACGCACTGGTAGCCTCATTGATTAAAAAAGAGTAAAAGCCCAAAATAATCTCCCAACCATTAACAATTATACAATTTAGTCGCAGAATTTTAGGATATTCCAATTTAGTCCCGCGCACTGGTAGCCTCATTGATTAAAAAAGAGTAAAATCCCAAAATAATCTCCCAACCATTAACAAGTATACAATTTAGTAGCAGAGTTTTAGGATATTCCAATTTAGTCCCAGACTATTTACAGTTGCTCCAAGTTGGTCCTAAATCATATTTTCCGTTAAATTTAATAGTGGTCTTCAAGAATTAAAGGATATTTTCATCTTATATGTAATTATTTAGAAATATATCTAGCATATAAATTACTTTATATGTTGTTTGGTTGGATTTAAGTTAAATCATGCTTAAATCCTAATTAAATACTCTCAAATACGATTAAAACAAACATAAAAAAAAATGTGAAATCCCATTTCTCCACCATGCTCTACTTTTAAATATGCTTAAATAATTTATTTTGCGACATAGATTACATTTTTCTTCTTCGACGAATCACTTTTCTCCACAAAATTATAGTGTCGTATTTACCTAACTAGAGTCACAACTTCTCCAGGTTGAACCGACGCATGTCGAAGCCGCCTCTCTTTGCAATGAACGCTAATTGAGGGGGATGTGCAAGCGCTTGGATGGAGACGAAGCCTTGTCGTCGACGCAAGCAGCGCGTATGGAGACGGATACAGAGACTACTTCGTCGAGTGGAGAAGCAGCGAATGAGTACTCTCCTTGAGTCGCTTGCTTCGTCGATGGTGAAACAAAAGGGGAGAAGTTGCACTCGGATGGAGACAAAGTCATGTCGGCGACACAAACAATGCAGATGGAGACGTAGACGAAGACTACTCCGTCGAGTGGAGAAGCGGTGATTAAGTACGCGCCTTGAGTTGATTGCTCCATTGATGGTGAAACAGAAGAAGAGAAGCAGCACGAGTGGAGCGGCGAAGATTTAGGTTTAAGGCGGGACTGTTCTACATATGAATCCTCTAATGAGAACCGACGAGCCCTTCATGTGTTTAATTAGTGAATTTTGTAAATAGACAGAATTACCTTCAAAATATGAAATGACAGTTAAATTAAACGGAAAATTTTATTTAGGACCAATTCGAAACAATTTTTAATAGTAGAGGACTAAATTGGAGCATTTTAAAGCTCAGCAACTAAATTGGACACTTGCTAATAGTCGGGGGACTATTTTGGGTTTTTTCTCATTAGAAAAATTACACAGCAATTAGAATATTTATGAATCATACTTCCATAGCCATATTTCTTAAATCAAACGTTAAACAGAAAGAAATATATATCTAAACTTTTGCGCAAATAATCAGCTCATTCCCAATATAATATCCTGCATTCTCAGAAGAAGTTGAAAGAGAATATTGTTAGAAATGGAAAACCAACACTTAATAGATAGGATTTAACTGTTCCAAATAGGTAATGAAATGAAATCTTCATACTAAGCAACTATTTAAACCGTTTTTCAGCAGCACCAAATTTTTTTTAAAGCCTTCGACATTGGCCCAAATGAATATAGATTAAATGCATAAATAGCAAACAGAGACATTTGTTGAATTTTGATGACTATGTGCAGTAATTATCATGCTATAGGAAGAATGGAGATGGTTCCAATCATACCATTTGCAACAATGCCTTTACTTCATCATACTGATTTCTGACTTCTGGATTATTTGGCTCAAGCCTCACAGCAAAGTCAGCATCTGCAATTAATTTTTTCCTACTTGAGCGTATGACATTCTAATTTGTTGCACAATGTAGGCGACAAAAAAAAATTAATAGAGATGCATGTACATCTACAAGCCAACCTTCCAAAGCTTTTTCAAGCTTTCCTAGTTCTTTTCTAGCTGTAATTCGACGTGAATATGCCTTAACGTAGCGATCATCTAAACTAAGAGCATCCGTACAGTCATTCTCTGCCTCAACAAATCTGTTTTATACATTTTAAAGCATCAAAGCAAGAGATTCAGAGGCAAATCAATGCAAAAAAGTATAGTGTGAGAATAAATTACAGCTCATGCATAGAAAAAGAATTAGAATTACAATTTTATCAGATATAAAGCTGTTAACTAATAGTCAAAGAACAATGTAATCATTACCTCTAAATTTATGAACAATAACATAGTTTTAAAGCATCTAAATTACAAAAATTCAAGAAATTTCACACTATTATGTAACAAATGAAACGATGAACAGCACATATAAAACCTACTTCTTTACTTTCAGATATGCCATAGCTCTATTGGCAAACGCAACTGATGTAGGAGAGAATGCAATGCTTCTTGAGTAGCACTCAATTGCTTCAAGGAACTTCTTTTGCTTAAAATATTCATTGCCCTGAAGGTTAAAATTAGAGAAAACAATTTACTTCCGCATCCTTAGGCGTACAATTTCAAGAAAAAAAAGAAGTTAGCCAAAAGATGCTAAGAATTCCTACCAAATCCTTCTCTGAAGTCGCGTCTGGCAGCTTCCCCTCATTTAAGAACCTACTTGACAGGTCAAATGCACCCGAATTTCTAAGATAACCAAAATGCTCACTGCCTTCTCGTGAAGAAACTACCTGTTCGTTAATCTTTTTCACATGAGATGCAGGAAATTTTGAAACAGGCTCCTTATCTTCGTCAACATTTCCTGCCATCTTTAATGAGCGAAACAAACGATTAAAAGCAAAAAAAGGCCATTAATTGTTAAATTTGCTTCAACAACTTATTATCCATATACTTCACACTAAAACAAATAAATGAAGTACTATAACTTACTATAACTTAAATTTTTTATATAATATTGTATTCTGGAAGGTCTTGTCTTCGAAGAGGGGGAGGGGTGGATAGGGTGGTGAAAGAGCTAGGAGGAGATGAGTAGGAGGTGGAGGGAGGAAGGCAATTTAAGTGGAATTAATGAAAAAAAAATGAGAAAATCAAGAGTACATGAAAAGATATTTTTGTTATTTTCATCTAATAAACGATTTTGTTAACAAAATAAATTGTATGTAAAAATCGTGTATATGAATAATTAAATAAATGACTTTTAAAAGCTTAAACCTACAGAAAGAGTGGTATAAATTTCAAAAACCCACTTGGATTTACTTTGAAAGAATAAGATAACGTATTACACAAATCAAAATAAACGAATAGCCCGAACTCTTACACATTGAGATATTGTCCATTTTGGCATAATTGTCTCACGATTTTGTCTCATTGGTCTAGCTTCTCATGAGGTCACCTACTGAAATAAAGCATGGGAAGAATTCTCAAAAATAAACATAAATAGGAAGAGAAAAAAACTAATCAAGGAGTTTCACAAATTGTCTCCAATTAATAAGGAGACTAGTCCCCTTATATTTTCACAAGGTAATTTGGCTAATCTAGATTCAAACTTATATTTTCTACAGTAATTTGTGTGAATTTCAAGTGATGGACTAACGGAAGGTGACTCCAACTTCAAATAGACCGCCCACCATTCACAATCATCTGAGTTAAATCTTGTATTTGAGCATGTTCCTTACGAGAGTCAAGCTATGTTATGACATTTTCTCCTTAAGCATCCTAATTTCTATTATATTGAAAAATTGTATCATCATTTATTTATGAACAAAATGCTTAATTTTTATCAGTGTGATACTTTTCAACATGATAAACATACTTGCAAGTGTACCCAAGTTCGAAATACAAACCTATAGATCCCTTCTCTATGATTCATAGTGGCATCTGGGGCCCTCAAAAATAAAATGAAAAAATAAATGAGTCATATAGTTTGTCACCTTCGTTGATGGTTATACCAGAACCACTTAACCTTTCTCAAAAAAAAAAAATCTGAAACTGTTACATATTTGAAACCTTCCACAACATGATCAACGCCCAATTTTTGAAAATATTTAGATTATCCAAACCAATAATACAAAAAACTACTGGAACTCCACTTCCGACCCTTATCTATCTAAAAATAACATCATTCATATAAGCTCTTGTATTGGCACACCACAATAAAATAGAGTGGCTGAGAGAAACAAGAGACATCTCGAAATTGCTCGTGTTTGGGGACATTGTTAGTAAATACTCCTAAATTGGATATTTAGTATAGCTCCCCTTTTCATCAGCACCTGAAGAGGAAAGAGGTGGCTCATGAATTCGATACTCCTCCATACTTGAAATTTTAGATGAGTGTAGACTCGATTTTTGGCTCGAGAAGTTATGACTTTGCAATTTGCCTTCTACCTGCTCAAGATTTTTCTTCTTCCTTATGTACGCACAAACTTCTTTGTTATAAGCTTCAAGTTGGGTGGTTAGACATCCTCATGTAGTGGTGTTTGGGAGATAGAAGGGCTAGGTGGAAGAGGGATAGGTTGGGAAGTTTCATTAAGTGCAACTCAACATTGATGTTCATTTGTACTCTTCTAAACATTATATTGGGGATAGAATGAGACGTCCATGGAGTTGTAGTAATTTCTGATAACAGGTGAGTAGAACTTATAGCCCTTTTTATTAGAAGCATAAAATAACAACAGCAACAAGTGGGGTCAGCTACATGAATCATTTTTCTCCATTGCATCCTATTGAGTGTCATATTTTCATTTAATTGTAATAAACTAAGATCATTTTTTATACAATATGCCCAAGTCTTTCTAGATCTACCTCTGTCTTTCTTAACATAAGTCGAATCTAAAACATCTACTCTCCATGACAGTGTTGGTGTAGCTCCAGTGGCGGACATATTCATTTCGCAATTTATCCCTATGTGTAAAGCCACTCAGCCACCTAACAGCCACCTAAGCATTCTCATAGGCAACACTTAGTTTTATGCTTCTCTTTTAAAGGCCAACATTCAGTGTCATAGAGCATTGCAGGTCTCATCACCATCATATAAAATTTTCCTTTCAATCTAAGCGATACATTTATATCACACAATAGGCCCGAAGCATAGCCGAAAAAAATAAACATGATACATTTAGGGAAAAAAATTTTGTAGGTTGGGGAATGGATGTGCATAAAAGATATACACTAAAAGATTTTAAATCACAATAGAAGAGAGGCTCTGATGTGAGGATAGGTATTCATCAAGATATGAGGCGATGTTATGAAATTAAATACCCGACTAGGCATTCAATTAATAAGATGTGTTGTTGTAAGGACTGCTTCCCCCAAAAAATATTTTTGGGAATTTATGAAAAATCATAATTCAGTGGGATATCAAAAGAAGATGTTTATTTTTTTCTCTTAATTATCTCATTTTGTTGTGAGGCATCAGCACATGAACTCACACGAATGATTCCATTTTTCGAAACATAGGATCCAAGAAATAAAATTAAAATATTCATTTGCATAAAAAGTTTTGAGAATCCAAATTCTACATTAGAACTAAGTATGAAACATGTCATGGAATGTTTGAAAGTTTTGGGCAGTTATAGATTTATGAGTAGATGAAAGAGGCTTTATTCTCGTGATCCTCATTCTCACTTCATCCAATTCCTTAATTGGTCTCACTAGGAATTTGATAGTTCTCTTCTTCTCGATGATGGATTTATATATGATGGCATTATGTGGACTTTCCAGTTGAAGCCAAAAATTTATCAAATTATTGAAATATTATGTAACACTTAGCTCTCCTTGACAAAGATTATGTAGTTCGGTCTCGATCTCAACCCATTCTACATTATTCTCAGTGCTTGAATAAGTTTTCCTTGTAGCATCTCAGATTTCTTTGGATATTTTGTGGAGAAAGATATTTTCTTCTACTTCAATAGTCATTGATTTGATTAGTCAAAGACATAAGCATATGATCTTGAATCTTCCATGTGCGATGATTAGTATCAATGAGCTCAGAAACTAAGCCCTCTCCTATGAGATGTTCCGCTTTTCCTTTTCCAAAAATGTACACAAATACAAATTGAAACCATTGAAGGAGGTCATGATCATTGAGTTTATGATTTGTGATAAAGGCAGAGAGTTCAAAGATTATATAGACAAAATTCCTGGTCTCTGATTCAAAACTAACCATCTGAGTAGAATTAAACTTCTTAATTTTGTACTTTTTCATAAATCTTATGCACATTTAAAGTTGAAAAAAATTCCTGGCTCCTGCTAGCTGCTAGTTTCCTGGCTGCTGCTAGATGTTGGTTTCATGGTTGCTTCTTCCTGCAGGATAGGAGTCCAAAGACTTTACAGGCTGTTGCTTGCTCAGGAAGGAGCAGATGGGTCACTGGCGGGAAGATTGGACAGAAGTGAGAAGAAGCCTGCGAGAGACCCGAAGCCAACAGTAAGATAGGAAGCCTGCGGGGAAATGTCTGTAAGAAGGACACACCAACTGCGAATACTATTTTATTTTTATTCTTTTTCGATGAAGGTGGATGTCAAGGAAGAACCATGAGTATGTCCTATGGTAGCATCCAAATTATATAGATGAGGGCTTAACCAATAGATTACATAGGAAACTGACGAACAAATTGTCAGGTTAAAAGTTTAAAAACAACTTGACAAGAAAATTGATGATAAATTAGCAACCAGAACTGGACCAAAAATATATCCGTTTAAAATTAAAATCACTGATCACAATTAAGACTAAATGAAGGGTTACGAAATAATCTTTTTGAAAGAGAAAAAAAAGCCAAAACAATTATGATTTTTGGCTTTCAGTTTCCTGGCACTATGGTAGCAGCAACTTCAGGGCATTAAAACCGAACTTCTCAGAAACTCTTACGAGTTTTATCTAATTTAGAACTATATGGGCTATTATTTGTCGACTTTTAATAATCCAGTAGCCTTCCAGCTACTGAAATGCTATACAAGGACTGTGTTCATAAGTTTATATTGTGAAAATACAATAGTCCAATGGGTTGCACTTGCCAATATTTTTTTCTGTACTAAAAATCAGATTTAAGACCTCAAAATGTTAAACTGCATTATAATTGAACAGGTTGTAAATACTCTGGTAAAAAAGGAAGCAAAACCAGCTACACGATACAAATTTAAGGCATCACAATTTTAAACTAAAATATAACTAAACATATTATAAAAACGCATTCTCTAGTAAAAAAGAAAAGGAAACCAACTGCATATTGCAAGTGATACAAATCAAAAATACTTTCTCCCTAAACAATTAAATAATCTTACCCATTTTGCAGCCTTCTGTGCTCGACCATTTGATTTGTTGCTACTGTCCTTGTGCAAGGAATCCCAGCCCTGTAGATCCTTCAAGAAACCACGAAACTCCTGCAGAGTCAACACAAACCATCCTAATTTACTTTGAAAGCTTAAATTCTAGTATCTAACATCAAAATACACATTATAAAAATGACAACCAACAGATTACACAAAACTTACATTCAACACAGCAGTGTAGTTTTAATCAACCATTCCTAATATAAGCTAATTAATAAATAACTGCAAACAGCTGAGCGTGAGCTCTATTAGCCCACAGTAACTTTGTTAAGGTTAACGTTCAATTCCATAAATACTGCTCAAATTTAACCCACCCTCACCCTTCATTAAAGTTAAGTCCGATGCTTGAACTCTCATCCTAATTTACTTTGAAAGCTTAAATTCTTGTCTCTAACATCAAATACACATTATAACAATGACAACCAACAGATTACACAAAACAAACATTCAACACAGAAGTGTAGTTTTAATCGACCATTTTTAATATAAGCTAACAAATAAATAAAAGCAAGCGGCTTAGAATGAGCTTTATTAGCCAACAGTTAATGTGTCAGGGTTAACGGTCAATCCCATAAATTCTGCCCAAATTTAACCCACCCTCTCTCTTCATTAAAATTAGGTCCGATGCTTGAACTCTCATGCTAAACCCTCAGCCCTGGCCTAATCCTCATAGGTCCGATGCTTGAACTCTCATGCTAAACCCTCAACCCTGGTGGGATTTAAAACAAGACTGGGCCAGCTGATTCCACCATGAACCAGTCGTAAGTCTGCTCCTATTCATATTAAAAACCGCCCCCAACATCCAACCGACCAGAGTTGTTCCGAATTGCAGTTCCGACCATCGAACCGAAGAATCGGTCTGGAAGGGTAACCCGATTTGATCTGATGGTCAATTTGTTTCAAACTTATTTATACAATAAATACAGAAATTAATAATTGTTATTTCCAAATATAATTACAAAAGAGATAGAAAAAATAATTCATTCGCGTGAGGCATTCCATATCCTCCAACTCAATTGTGATTCTGAAAGCACTCATCACCAAATCACTGCCTGTTCTTTGACTGCACATTGCTAGTTCGTCGGCCGTCCATGATTTTAAAAAGAATAAAAAAAATTACAAAAGAAATGATTAAGAATTTAAAAATTAAGGTGTTTAAATTATATTTTACAATATATTTTTTAAAAGCATATATATAACACTATTATTACATCATTTATTTCATATTTAAATAAATTAATTATTATTTAAGTCACTCGGGTTTAAGCCCCGGTTCAACCTTTAAACCTCGAGCCTATCCATCTATCTATTTTATGCCTGATCAAATTTTTAGGACATTCTAATTCTTAAACCTAATTAAGCTAAAAAAATAAAATGGTTATGTAACTTATAGACCAAACAAAATCAAAGATAAAACATATTTTTCTTTCTTGCCAACAAAAGCGTTTGCCCTTCACCAGAACTATACATATAAGTTGAAATCATAGTTTAACTCAACCACACTTATGATTACCTAAGCTCAATAAAAAAGGCCCTACAGAAATACAAAATTTAGTGCATAGCCAAAATACGGCCATATCGAACTAAGGGCAGACATCCGAATGATGCACCGAGGCAGACCTTCAAATTCCTTAGCTCAATTCAAAAAGTCGGGATTAAATAGCTGTCAAGCACGAGCTTGCAGGGTATAGGCCATCAGATCAATACTTTCCTTCAATCTTCATGCTCAAGTAGTTCATTCGATAATATGTACCAATCAGTTCAATAACATTGGATCAACTCTACCAGAGAGGATCTAGCTTCACGATCTAATTGAGCTAGAAGAAAACTAACCCAAGAACATAACAAACTAACAAGGATGTTATCCAACAAGTGTGTAGAGAAAAGAAAGAGAAATGTGATGCCATCAAAGAATAACGTGCTAAATGTAATATTAATTATATCTCAATAGAAAGCAGAAGACAAAAAAGAATAAGCCAAAGATTCCTAAATATTTATATGTGATGGTCACTTGTTTATATTATGAAACAAATTACACTACAAAAAGGAGAGATTTATGTAACAGCAGATGGACATAATTCCCTCATAGTAAACAAAAAAATCCCCCTCTTCGGCGTATTATTCAAGAGAAATGTTTCAAGTATCATAACTCAACAGACGTGAAAAGGAAAACACAATACATGCATAAAAAAATCTTTGTTGGAATTAAGCCAGATCAAAGTTGCCTCTTCAACACAAACTCTCTAACCTTAAACTAGGCAAAGCGAGTAGATTCAACTTGCCCCTGAAGTACAAGGCACATATCACTCAGCTCAACTAACTCATTCTTCAGTTCACCTAGAGTTTTCTTCAAGTCAGCAACTTCACACCTCAACTCGACCAATTGATATTTGAGTTCGACCGATTCAATAGAGCGAGTATTGGATTTGCTCAAGGGTGGATTCTCCCGACCCCATATAAATGGGTGTCGCAGCAACATGAAATTTACGATCACACAATCTTCCAAATTCCCTTTCACAATGGCTGTCACACAAACCTTCGTAGCCAAAGGAGAAACTCAGAAGAAGGTTGATGAGCGGCATCCTTTTCAACGAAAGTGACGCATTCAGATTCAATTCACCTATAATCTCTGTGCAAGAGCAATTATAAATAAGTTTGCCAAATGAAAAAAAATCGCTACAACAAAAAAATAAATAAAAAAAGATGGGAGGGGGTAATGTGTTTCCAACTTACATATAGTACTAATGAATATTTTTTGTACCATCTGATTGACGTTCACACTAGAGTTGCAAGATCATAGGCAAGTCGCTTGATTCACTAAAGTTGGTTGGCACTAGCGAAAAACCCCAACAACTTCTCACATGCTCATGATCTATAGATGTTGGGCATTTAAGCAAAATTACCCTCAATATGCCCATATCCATAATCAAGGCCCCCGAAGGAACCTAATCATAGAAAGCAACAGAGTGTTCCTTCGACAACCTCACTGCTTATTTATTTTATAGTCTCCTTGTCATTTGTGTCTACCAAGTAGGCCTTATAGGTGTTTGGAAGTGGAGAAAGTGTATTCTTTTATGGTGTTTTTCATCTGAATTATTTGAATAAAAAAATGTGATAAGCAAATACAAAGACAAACAAAAGGAGCAGGTGAAAGTGTAAACTGGTTACCATCTTATCACCTTATTTAAAAGGAACAAAAAGCTAAAATTTCAAGGGAATAATTCAAATGTCATAACTAACATTAAGTAATTTTTATTGATATATTCTCAACCCATTGACGAACAGACAAGTCAATTATTATTTCTTTTTTTTTCTCAGTTTTACTCTCAAGAGATAAGAAAATCAGTGAACTAAACATATATAGCCAAAAAATGATCATATTGAACTCTGGGCAAAAATACAAATAATGCTCCAAGATAGACATTCAGGTCACTTTATCAAGCTAAGATCAACAAGTTGTCGGGTATGAGCTATTGAGTACAGGCCATCAGACGAATACTTTCCTTCATCTATGAAAAATCAAAGATTCCATCTGATAATAAAGTCTGGTCTATTTTATAACATCAAATCAACCCGGTTAAAGAGGATTTACCTAGCTTCAAGGTTTAATTATCTAAAGGCGAACTACTTAAATAGTCGACGGGCTAATAAAGATGTTACCCAACAAGCATTCAAGAAACAGAAGGTGAAATACAGCGATTTCATAGGATACAACAACAACAACAAAGCCTTAATCCCACAATGTGGAGTCGGCTACATGAATCCTTTTTCTCCATTGTGTCCTATTTAGTGTCATATTTTCATTTAGTTCTAATAAATTAAGATCATTTTTTATACAATAAGCCCAAGTCTTCCTAGGTCTACCTCTGCCTTTCTTAACATAAGTCGAATCTAAAACATCTACTCTCCTAATCGGATCATCAGATGACAAAAATATGGTAATGTAGAAGAAGACAAATTTCATAGGATAATGTGTCAAAACTAATACTAATGATATGGTAATGTAGAAGAAGACAAACGAGGATAAGCTAGAGTATCTCTAAATATCAATATATGATGATCACTTTATATGAGAAAAAATAGCTTTTTTTTTTAATTTGATTAAATAGGGAGGGATTTATGTAACATGGGATAGACAATTGATCTTTAGATGGTGTAACTTAATTCCCTCCCAGAAAACACAAAAGTCCCCCTCTCTTCCAGACTGTTATTCCATTCTTCCCAAGGCCCTAACTTGATCTGTGAGTCCATGAATATTGACAGTGCCATTTCCTTAAAACTTGAAAAAAAAATATCTACTTTCAACCAACGCCAACAAAGATTATTATAATTTAACCACATCAATCATCAGGATGGACATACAGATCGCATACAAGCTAGGCCAAAGAAAACATTAGTGAAAACTGAAAATTTAAAAAATGGGGAGGAAAAGGAATAGAGACGCGTCAGGTACCATGGACCGGTCTCGCTCAGGTTTTTCCGGAACGCCGAAATAAGGTATCTTGACAGAGAAGAAACTGGAAGAGTCCAAAGGGCAAAAGAAACCCACCAAATTTCAGGAGAAAATCCTGGGGATGGGTTTAGGGGAAGAAAAACAGCGACGATTAACGGTAGCAAAGCTGCTTCGAGACTTTCGACGCCGAAGTTTCCAGATGGAACGGTGAGACAATGGACGATGTTTGCGGTTATTTTTTCTGGCCATTATCATATTTTTATTTCACGATAAGCGCTCATTCAGCCTTATGTTTGGGGGAAAAAATTTGAGTACGTCGGCGTACACGTCCTCCAATGTGCTCTCGACAAATCAGTTCAGTCGGTCCCATCATATTTATTCAAACGCGACCCGTCGACCCGGCCTACTCGATTATAACTGAGTTCTAACCAAGCGGTACAGAAGTTCCGCTCTAATAACAGGCTTGTAAGCTTCCCAGTAACCTCAAGACGAATGAACCGCGTTTATAACCTCGCCGTAACCGAGACATAACATAGCGTTGTGTAACCTAGCAAAATAAACGAGTCATAACTGATCTGTAACCGAGAGTTCATACCGCGCGTTGTAACCTAGAGGTATAACTGAGTTGTAACCGACACAGTAACCTCCGCTGTATGTTGTACCGAGGCTGTGTAACTCCCTGGTAACCTCTACACCCCGCCCGACCAATGTACCTTCCATGTAACGTTTCTACAACATCCAAAGCAAGGTACCTCGGGTTTGTAACCTCGTTGTAATCTGCGAGAACCCTTCGCAGTCACGGAGCCGTAAATTAAGTATAACCGCGTGATAATCTTCTTTAAAAAATCAGAGTGCGCGAATGCTGCTATTTAAGCAGTAGAAAGCTAGGGTTTACCGTTTTATTACATTTTGATGTTGAAGATGGACCGCACAAGGTGGCATTTCGTCTCTGGCAGGGAAGGAGACGATATATTTTCAGCCATACCAGAACAAGTCGATGTTAAAGTCAAGGTATATTAGTTGTATGTTTGCAGTTCTGTACTTTTTTAGAGAAACTTCTGTATTTTTTCTGTCGAGATATCTTTGTTTCTTGATGTGTTTAGGTCTTTTTTTGGGTGTTTTTGTTGGTGTGTAGCTTGCTGTGTTTTATGGTGATTTTCTTAGGTAGAGATCTTCAGTTTTTATTAAAATGTTGTCTTTTTTTAGGGTGATCTTATTTGTTGTATGATTTATAAGAATATTATGGATTTGAATGTCTGTAAAGTTGTGATTTTTGTTTTGTTTGTTGTGATGTGCTAATTAGGGTTGTAGGATAGTTTAATAGTAGTTTAATATAGTTTTATATTTGTTTGCAGTTGGATGAGGGTGAAGCTAAATGTAGAGATGAAAGTGGAAATATTTTATTTGAAACGGTTGTCCATAATGAAAAAGAAGCTTACGAAGTGTATTGTGCTTACGCTCATCATATCGGATTTAGTGTCTGTAAGGAGCACGACACGTTCTGGCTTAACTCCAAGAATCTTAAGACGAAATACTTTGTTTGTAGGAGAGCAGGTTTCAAGAAAGAGTTGAAGGCC